AACTGGTGCGGAATCATGCTCCTGTCCACACCAAGCAGAATATTAAGCCACATCATCCTGGAGAGACCGGAAAATGCTCTGCATTCAGAGTTACTATCGGACCAAGCTGACTGGCTTCAGGAAAAACAAATCCTGTGCGAATCAAATTGCAACGCTACGCATAATCACAAAACAGGACATAGAATGGCAGTCAACACAACTCAACCTCAACTTCATCGACTTTAAAAAGGCCTTCAACGGCGTCGACCAACAAGTAATTTGGCAACTACTTCAACACTGCGACTTGCTACAAACCTTTATCAACCTCATTCAACAGCTATCTGCCATGCTATATGATCCTACATGCCAAGTGATCCATAATGGAAAGCTCGATGATGCTTTCGAGGTGAAGATAGGAGAAAGACAAGGTTGCCTACCACCACCGATGATCTTCTTGATTGTGGTCGACTGGACTGGACCATGCGGCAATTCTTGAGGAGTGAGAAGGTGGAGATACGCTGTTTGACCAGTGAAAAGAGCCTAGAAGATTTGGATTTTGCCGACGATAATTCGTGTCTAATGTTGCACAAGCTTGAAGGTTTACAGGCGGAGAGTAACAAGTTGTCGGAAGGGACGGGGAAGGGAAGACGGGACTTCAGATGAACTTTGAGAAGACGGAGATGATGAAGATACTCAACGAACAACAACAACAGCAAGCACCACTCACCATGAACGGGTGACATCTAATTTACTTTCGGAAGCAACTTTGCTGACGTTGTGCATTAACCCTACTACACTGAATTATGTGATGCCTAGGTATAGCTTGGTAAACTGATAACTCACTTTGGGAATCTTCTTTCTATTATTGTCCGGGGATACTATATTATCAAGTCTACTAACTCTTGCTGTGTGTAAGCGTAGGACAATTACGTACGCGAACAAGAGCCCGAACAATAACCTGCATTACTGAAAGTAGCTGCATTTCAAAACAACACAGATAGAGAAATTCAAAAAGTTAAAATTGTTTCCACAAATAATTGGGATTTAAGCGAACAGTTTAATGAATACTACGGTGAGCAAGGTTTCCAGGACGATCATTCATGAATCACCAGCATCATTGTGATTAACTCTGAATAATATCGTTTACATTTTCCATTGATAAGATCTCAACGTCTTAAGGATTCCATTCAGATCATCCATAATTTACCTACCGGTAAAACGAGATTATTAAGACTTTCCATTGCAATTCAAGGGCCATTTGAGTGAACAAAGAATTCTCTTTTTATAACTTCTCCTGTTTTTACACTTACACGCACATACGCTTATATGCATACCTTATCACCTTTTTTATATTTTCATACAGTTTAGAAAGTCAAGTCGGCAAAATTCTTTTGTGAGCGTTAATGGAATCAATTGTTACTGGATTTCACTGCAAAATGATTGATTATCCAAACAATTATATAGCTTGAGTAATGCTATGAGATGATAGTTTAATCAAACAATAAGGTGTTTATGAGAGTTGAATGAAGTGAACTAAGAAAGATAATATGATGCACTATAGTTTGGTAGAATGTTAATCATGTTGGGGGCAAAATAAGCCAAACAGACTTTCTCAGCTGTATAATATTATTCAAAAACTGATGAACGAAACTTTAATACTGTTGACATACAATTCCTTAATTTTTATGAACAACTATATAGCTTTAAGAAGAAGTTATTGAAAAGGATATTCTTTATTCACTCGAACGGCTTCTGCAACAAGATCACAATGACTTAATGGACGGTTGAAACATTTCGGTCCAATCATTCTCAGTTTTCCTCTAGCCTAATCCTAATCCAATCAGCTGTGTGCTTCAGAAAAGAAATTGGTTAAGCATGTGCAGCATATCCAAGTAACGATAATCAAAGCACATTTGCGTCTTAAGAAACTGACTTACTTTATTAGCATCACCATAAGCCCAATCATAATATTCTGTACTGCATGTTCTCACGAAAGTACAGCGGTTACGCAGAAATGCACATGACAGCAGCAGCAGACTTCAGTAAACATCCGAATACTAAGCTCACTACCATCTGAGTTGACAACATCCTGATAGCCCCTATGACACCATGTAAGTTGCCAGAAGTAATCCTAGGTATTACAATAAAATCCTTTGGTATTTCTTTCGCAAATGGTTGCCGCTTCAAACTTCTCAAACTGGTTAAATTCCATCCTGAGTTTAAATATATGATAAATGCTGGGTGCAAAAACATATGTCTATGCCTCACTGCCTGGCGAACGAAGAAGGTGTAGCGGATATAATTCGTTTCGAGAATGGAATATATGTCAGGTTAGTTGCAGGTTAGTTTTTACAAGTTCCAGTAAGCTATCAAAGCACCATGAAATAAGAGGCCATGAAGCTATTTCAGCCTAGGTAAACCGGTTTCGCTTGCTCTAAGATGATTTCGCTCTTCTCTTATAAACTAGATTGTCTGATGATCGAGATGTTTTCGAGTGGACTACACTTGATAACTAAACCGTTGTTAGTCCAACTAGCACACGCTAGTCTTCATTCCTGAAAACTTCAAAAAAGAAGCAGTCTGGTTTCATTGTTTCCCTGGTTTCAAATTTGCAGGAGCGTTCAAAACTTTATTAAAACCTTTGAGATTAACATGTGTTCCATTAAAGAGGCATTCAATATGGGGAAAATCAGCTTGGAATGTTTCACAAATGTGTATTACTTCAAGCTGCAACACTTTGGAGCAGTACAGAGGTATTGGGAGTTATGAGAAGACTAACAATGAGGCAGGAATACTTCATGAGGACCCAAAACAAGTAACAACTGAATAGCACCCATATGTCCATGGAAATTTGTCCTGAAATTCTCACTTAGCGTTTCTAGATACTAGTTGTCAAAGGTTTTCAGATGCTTATCTCTAAGGATAATGTTCTCACTTATTATCTGTTAGATATCGAATACAAACTGAACTGGCAAGAGAATGCTAGTTTTCTTCTTACAAGTGACCGAAGAGACTGCTGATAGAATTATGGAGTCAAAGTTAGCTGTTTACAGAACACTTATTAAAATACTAACTCACCTTTGACCTTGTGGTATCTAACGCGAAGTAACTATATGAGATTCATTTATCTTCCTAGGCGAACCTATCACTCAACAAATATGCAGAAGGAAGTGGGGATGGATTTGGGACTGTGTATGCACTGAGAAGGCCGACTGGAGATATCACGCGTCAGGCCTCAAGTGGAACCCTCATGGGAAGCGACTAGTTGGGCGTCCCAGTTGAGGGTGACATGGAGGAGATCATGTGAGGAGGAAATGATAGGTTGTGGGCTGTTATGGAGCCAGGTTCAAAAGATTTCAGAGAACAGAGCGCATTGGAGACGTGCTACTGAAGCCCTATGTTCCACTAGGAACTCAAGGGACAAATAATGATAATAATATCTTACTATGCACACAGCGGCCAAATACTGCATCTTTTTCTTGTTTTCCCTTCATTTTGTTTCTTATGAAACCTTTCTTTAAGTAGTTTGCGAAGTAAAATACAACCGTTTCGTATTTCGTGTTCATGTTAGCTTCAAACTAACCATCTAGGTACTTTGTTAGATGTTTTATCAGTTCCCTCTCTACTTCACTTATTTTCATTGACTTCGTGAAATTTGAAGGCATAATCTTGCTAAATGTTGTCATCATGTATTTGGTATTTACGTTACCGTTAGATCACGTATCAGTTCACTGTCCCTTCCTCATCTCAACCACTTTGTATTAATAATGAAAACGAACAGCGAAAATCTGACACCAGCATACCGTTTTTAACTACAATATACATCCTGGACTGATAAGTTTTATAAACTTATTTGGGTGAATAACATGAAATACCAAGTTAACAGCAACTTAAGGTGGGTTTCTATGGTTGTTATCGAGAATTTACATTTTTTTAAGACATGCTGTAATAAGAGAGTCCATTAAGGTTTAAGATAAGCACGACTGTTTTTTCGAAAACTTTCATCACCACCACTCACTTTATATAAATTAGACCATCCGCTGCATGGTAACTAAGCCTAAAAGTCCCGACAAAGTGTATATATTTACAATATTAGGAAACAAGTGTGATTCAAATATTAAGGGGTGAATACCCTGCCAGCCTTAAACTTTTTGCAGCTAGATCAACCCCAGTTTGGTCAAAGTTAAAATAACTCAGTCGGGGGCTAGAGATTCTAAGTGAAGAACAATATCATTCTGTCATTTGAACTTTAGATGACAGTAGCAGTCGGCAACTGTAGCGAAACGTCCCATCTCACCATAATAAGAATCGAAAAAGCTGAACAACGACAGCAGTAACAATAAACATAGTACAGAAACTGTCATAACATACACGCAATAATTAAGTGCAGAGGAATGAGACTCCGCTATTTACATAAAATTTCAAACTATGCAGAGAAACATGAAGTAGACATTCCCTATTACTCACTCTTTCTTCATGTAGGACCGGCTGCAAATAAAAATTCGAATGTGAATGGTGGCGACTACTAGCTCCCGGTGCTTTGTAGAAAAGTAGTGAATAAGAACTTATCCGCTGATCCAAGTCAAGAAACAGACCATGTTCTTTATTTATGATGTTAATAACGACAGAATTCCATTAATACTAACACAACGGTTACCGATACATCCGTACATACGGCCCAGCAACAAAACATGCAAATAACGTGAAACTGAGACTTAGTAGAAGGTAGAATGATGAATATTCAGTCAGGATATCCTGACATATGTAAGGGTATGCAAAAATAAATAACACATGAGGGTTGCACCATAAAAGTAGTCGGATTTCACTCATTTTTAAATGACTGCTACACTATTCAATCAATAACTTGCATGTATTATATATGACATTGCACTGTGCTACCTCTAAAAATATAATGGATATAACTCATTAATCAAGACATTATAGAAGCAGAAAGTACGTCTTCAAAAAGCACTACGTAGATCAAAAAATTCATTTATGTGTTTGCGACCCAATTCACTTACGGATAAGGCTGGCTTCATTGAAGCAACACTTTACATTGCAAATCCTAGTGAAAACAGACAAACAATTCAAATGTGCTGCACAAAAGTCAAAAAAGTAAAACGTCTATTCGTATTCAATATCTAATGTCGATGTCACCACTCTCTGTAAAACAGTTGATCTTTCAAGCTCTTTTATAGGTTCGGTGAAATGGTTTTTGATTTCTCCTGAATTCTAATACAGTACTAATGATACCTGTTGTACTCAGTTAACGTTTATTTTTTGTTAGGGTAGGGGGAGATGCTTACTTTTTCTTGAAAGCATGCTTTTTCCAAGATCTCAGAAAAACCGTTTTACGAGACGGCCTTTAAGACCTTACAGAAGGAAATAAATAGATTTTGAGGGCTACTGGATTTGAGCGACTTAGGACAGAAACGAAAAATAGTAGTAGGATAGGAGTAATGATGACAAAGGGAATCTGGTAAACTGTGCGGTCAAACGGGTTAAGATGGGTGAGTTAATATGAAGCGGTTAGAGGTTTGAGCTGTCTTATCAAAAAAGGTGGCAAAAAGAGAGAATCGACACCGTGACTTAAGGCGTTCAGTGGACTATTAAGATACCAGTTCGTCTCTTCTGTCTTATGCGTATCCTAAATACATATAAACACTATAACACCGCTTATTAATACAAGATCTCAAAAGTTACCGACAGATAAATCAGTCGTCAATTCAGGTGTTAGTGCATCTCAGAGGCAGCAGACCTAAGTAGAGAAGAGGTGATCGTATCTGAGCTCACTTGAATACTGCAGCAGTAACCACCGGATAAATCCAACTACTCAGGATATCGTAAGCGGTCACTATGACGCCATATTTGTCGCGGCAATCAGGAGTGTACTGATTAAAACCACCCAGCAAGTTTACACATTGCTTTCCTTAATATTCTTTCTTCAAAGTATCGGTAATATATCCATAAGCGATCAGGGAGTCCCATCATGAACCTCTAGTTTAAGTGGTATTTATGTCCCTTGACAAAAAGAGCTCCCACAAAACATCAGATGACTGGCTTTGCCCAAGTCGCTGTAATACGTAGATCTTCTCGACATCTGCTTGGTTTGGCCAGGCATCCAGGTTTTTCCCAAACAGTGTATGGGTACGCCGGTACCGCAAGATAGGCGCAGGACTCTCAACGACTCAGGATGATGAAACCCATCGTATTTTGCTCACAGTTAGATGCTGACTGGTTGTCTTAAGCCAATCTCCTTAGTGCCTCGACGATATCTCACTACTATCAATGGCTTAGTGTCAACAGCCCAAAACAGGAGTTAATATCTCAGACCTCAAAGAAGGTAGTTAATAAACAATGACGATAATAAAGGCTCCGGCTGGCCCCTTCTTAAATGATGAGGAATGACGTTATACAGGTGTCGCATAATCTTTTGACAACGCAGATACATTTTTAGCCTCTGAAGTAATCCTCTTAGGAGACAATTAGCTTTCAGTACCCAAAGAAGCGACTTCACGACGTAATAAACTACTAGATGATATGCAGAGAATTATTGGCAAGTCACGATTCTCCCCGAGGAAAATCGGTTGGGCTTTCAATATGCAGAACTCAAATAAGTTAAAGATTCGTTGCACTATCCGTGAGCTGTGTGGCCCACCACGCCAGAAACTCCAACACGACCTGTATCGAGCAGATGGAATAATATGTTACCGAAAAGGGTCTGAGCTGCTGAGGGGTTATAAAAAGTTTGAGCCTTGTAGATTCGGGAGAATCTTAGGCACCTAAATCCCACTAAATCTTCAGTAATTGAGAGTGTTCTATTGACATTACCCAAAGAGTGTGTTACTGCCGTGTCTGTCCCACTGCCAAACGTTTTCAGTTATTCGCTTCTCTGGCGCTGGTTATCCTATGAGTGGCGATCACCCCTTCACTGAACTCCTTGCCTCCAAGCATGGCCTACGTTCCTCGTCTATCCTTGTGTAAAAATTACTGAAGGGGTATTAGATCACTTTTATCGTGATCATTTATCTAAGAACCCGATTCTGCTTGACTATCACCAACAGATTTTGCCTCGCATGCCACACCATCAACCGGTCTATAGCTTGAAACAGGTGGACTTTCCTTTGCGGGCAGGACAAATACTGGCCCATTTTATGTCTCTGTGGTGCTGGTCAGCCTATATGGTGATATGCGGTGTGAGAGGCCTCAGCTCAAAGGCGTGAATGGAAAGTAACTCAGTTGGTTTAGACCTCGCCTCACTAACTGCTGACAGGTAGTTACGGCTGACCACTCTCAGACTAAGTGGTTCTCACTTATCTGTGGGGTGCTTGAAGTTTCGTCATTTGCTAACTGCTGGTTACTAAGCTCCTGAAAATAACACACCTGAAACCTCGAAAGCCTTGGCATAAAGATTATCTCAAGATTTGGATTGACGTATATTTCTGTCTTCCAGCAGTAAGTATATGGAATCCAGAACCAAACCAGTTGAGGCCAGCTCTCTTTCAACACCATGGAGCTCAAGATTGTGGTGGTAGGAGATTAGAGATCTTATTCTAGTTCTTGCTACCAGTCAAACATTGAAGATCTTAGGGTGATACTCGGAGATATATTGCAGTTTCTGGCCTTCTTCGATTCTCACTGGGCGAGGCATGAAGTCCTGGAGTTTCTGCTTAGAGATCTAAAAGGATCAACCTAGAGTTTATTTACATCAGTATATTTTCGTCTACGCCAAGAATAAAGTTGCTTTTTTATGCCCCCCCAAACGACATTAGACATGGTTACTATGGAATGGTTTTGAAAAAGAGGCAGTAAGCTAACCATGGTGAAAACCCAAACTAGCCCCTTTTACTTTGCAGTCGGCGAAATACAGGCCAATTTCAGGCTCACTGTACCGTCAAAATGTCGTCTACGGTGTCTTGCATCTTGACAGATTTCTCTTGGGATTCCACTTTCCACAAATGAGGTATCGATATGTAAAAACAAAGCATGAGAGGGCACGAACAAAAGCCTTTGCCAACTTCTGTATGACCAAGCTCACCAAGCTGCGGGATTACACATCCGAGAAAGCTTATACGGCTGCTTTTCATGCTTTTGAAAGAGGTCATGTCAGAAGCTAGTAAGGCCTTTGCTCAGGCTCAGGAAAAATACGTCGACGATAGCACCAGATCTCAGCGTGTTATCCACTTGTCAAGGACCACCATACGTTAGCGAACACCAGACTTGCTCCTTTCCAAGCGCAGCTAGGCCTTAAGTGTCGCATCCTTTCGATGCAGTTTCTTTCTGACATGGTGATCCGCTCGCTTGTTTATCATCTTCAGTGCAGCCGTGGGTAACGCTGTGGGTAAATAGGCAAATAAACAAATATTTTAATCTCACATTATGAATGCAGCATCAGAGAAGAAGGTTACAGGCATCATCACACTGATATTTGTTGAAAAATCTGCAAGATCTTGGTGGTCCTAAGTAGTGCAGAAAGTAGGTGCTCGAACTCTGTCAGGGCATCAAAAAAGACTACTAGCTGTAAAACGAGCAGAAAATATCTCTTTTCGGTACAGACATGGTGTCTGAGTTTAGTTTGTTTTCTGTCATATTTCTCACATGGTGTTTCAAGTTTGTGTTACAAGCAGCTGATACGTTTGACTCATCCTCATAACGCTACGTAACTGCAGGTTAATATCCGTTTTACCACAAATTCGTGTACTCATAGCCGCAGGGACCAAAAAACCCACACTGAAGATTTCGGGAACCGGTAAGTTCCCGCGTAATTATGTAATCCAAATGAGTATCTATGTTCAAGCACTTCTCACTCTTCAGGTATTACCATTCACCCCAACATAACTTTGCGCAATTAAAATCAGATGTCGTAGTGCAAAAAACAAACACTGAAAAGCAGCAGACAAATGGCAATGGGTTTCACATACTGTTCACGCTAAGGTATCCAGCATTATCAAGAGGGTATATTCGCTGTTAAATGAAGTACTTGAGAAATCCGTTGCTTAACACTGCTGCTAACACGTTGCCCTTAGGGTCAGTAGGTGAGTTGATCTCGTAAATTTAGTTGTTTGTCCAGGTTTTTTCGCCGCTGCGACAGTCCAGGAACTCGAGTGATTCTAGGATCAATGAATGCTAACTTACTGACAGAGTCAAATGAACGAAAGCAGGCGGTAATTCCTACTTATTGGACAATAAATTTCCTGGCGGCACAGTTTCTTTCTTTTGACTAACAATGGGATGTTGAGAGCTAGTAACATATATTCCTCACTTGATTCCATTTGTCACCGTCAAATTCTTTCACATACGGAGCCCACTCCCTGCTAAAGTGAAGGCCTTCAACTCAATCTCTGAATTTATCCGGTTACCAGTTGGCTTCTTATCATCTGACAAAGTACCCGGCTTGCCCGGTGCAGCAACACTATCCTCTATGGTATTTCATATCATGGGGTTCCTAATGTATAATAAGACATCCACCACACCCACACTGGCCTTTCATCCGAAATGCTGAGGAGAAACCATAAAGTAACGGCATATTCTGCCCTACCCAACACAGGGACCACAAATAGAAGTTCTAAGCCACGTGACAGAATAAAAGTTGTGTTCTTGAGTGGTTAGCACAGCAAGCATGTGTAATTGACGCCATGGCAAAGAAGTTAAATGAAGAAAAACATGAATACAGGCAACGCACTCTCTGTTGGGATTCTTGCTTTTTTCTCTGCCTGCTGCTTTGAGTTTGTCTTTCTCTCGCCGTAGAAAAGCAATTCATTTCTAAATGTTGGCCTGGTTGCCATCGAAAATTGATTATTTCAGGAGCAGACCTTGTCTGAAACTGTCCTCCATGTCCTCCGAATTTGTTGCTTCTGGATGCTGGAGTTGAAAAATGCAGATATTTACCCTCAGCCATAATATTTGGCGAGATTATGAACCTTTGATTTGAAATGGTATTAACGCACATGAATTATAGTTTGAAATCGTCAATGGGGTACAACAAATAAACAACTCCTTTCAAGAGGTTTGCGGAGGTTTATCAATTGGTTTTAGGTTGGAAATAATCTTGGGCTTACACCAGTGCCCCCAGATTTCCAGCGTTCATCTGGCTGATGTCAGCCCATA